CTATACCAAGAAGTTACTACATTACTTCCCTCCATTATGAAGATAATCCACTACACCAAGAAGTTACTACGTACATTACTTCCCTCCATTATGAAGATAACCTCCACCTTTATGATAATTATTTTTGTAACCTTTCACCTCCATAACCTCCTTCATTATATTCATGTTTAATGTCATGTTTATGACTAACATTTTGTATGCCTCTATGTTACACTATAAATAGATGCATAAGGGTTCATATTGTATACAGTTGAAGATTTGGTGAACAATTGAATAAGAAAAGCTCTCATCTCGTCTCCCTATTTCTATTGCTATCATCTTTTATATTTCTTGTCTTGTTTTACTTTAGTTTTACAACAAAAATAATATTACCAAATAATAATAATAATAGAGGCATGATAAGGCACGGTTTTCTCCCATTCCTTAAATTTCTCACATTTTTATATTTACCTTCCACATTTAACGGCAGATGTTACATATTCTCCCCCATCATCAAACTACGTATTTTACCAAAAAAACAAAAAAACACTCTACTTCTATTCTTAAAGTTTTTTCAATTATGGATATAAACATGGTTTCAATTCTAATTCAACACAATGGACAATGGGATGCAATAAGTATGTGTGAAAAGAGCATGGCATAATTGGTGATTGATGTTCGGGGGTCAATTTAATTAATTAAAATAAATTAATTTATGTTCATTTATTGAAAACTTGACTTCAAGAGAACACTAAATAAAGGTACAATGATAAAATTACCTAATTTTTTTAAGGGACCTGAAATCTAAAATAATGACATATAAATAAGAAGGAGAGTATGTCTTATTAAAATATTTCACATTGAAACACTATCTTTTTGTATTTCTAGCGTATACTATTTTCTAATTCTATTTAAAAAATCACAACTCGATGAAAGGATTAAAAAGTAAAAAAGATATTGAACTACCCCTTCCATTTTTGTCACCATTTTAGGTTTCACGTCTTTAAGAAATTAAGTAAATTTATTTGTATTGAATGTTTTCTTGAAATTAAATTTTCAATAAATGATAATATATTTGTTTGAAGTCTAAGTGAAATAAAAAAACATTTTTTTCATATTCTCTTATACTCCGGGAAGACTTAATTAGTTAATTACAAATGAAGGATAGTATAATCAAAATGCATTGGACGACTATTTCAATTTTTTTGAGTTTGAAATTGGAGCTAAAATTTCAATTTGAATTGATCCAAAAATTTTAGTTTGTTCGTTGAGATTCCTTTTTGAAGATCAAATTTTATAAAATACAATGGTGGAAGCAATTAATTGATATGAAGTAATTATAATGAACATGAATTAGTTACTTAGTTTTATTATGTTGGTCAAATACATACATTTAAGGTTAGTACCCTTCTGTTAGTTGATCATCTTAATTAATTTTTTTTATATTACCGTTGCAATTAATTCATTTTGAAAGTGTTCATATTTGTTTGTAAAATTTCCAAAAAGTTTTTAAGTGGTAGTAAATTAGTAAAATTATCTTCTTATTTATGATTTCTTAATATGCGTGTAAAAAAAAGTGATTAACTAATATGAGACGGAGAGAGTAGTTTTCAAAGTTAAAAATGGTTTACTCAAAGGTTGAAGAGACAGATTGTGGGTCAGATCAATCCATTCCGTTCTTCAGGGAAGATCTATGGAATAGGAAAGCCACAACGGATCTATCAGAACATATCTATTCTAAGTAAATACTTGATCGATACGAGACTATTTCTTAGTTCAGTGGGGTTTGAAAGCAATCTACAACGAATCAATAGGAAGAATTATGTCATTTATGCATTGCTTTTGTACATAACAAGTACTCCCTCCGTCTCATTTTATGTGAGTTAGTTTGACTCGGCACATAATTTAAGAAAGAAAAGAAGACTTTTAAAACTTGTGGCCTAAAATGAATGATAGAAATTTGTGTGGCTATAAATCATTTCATTAAGGCTAAATAGACATTTTAAAGTTAAATTGTTACTTAATACAGAAATGTGTCATTTTTTTTAGACTGTCTAAAAAAAAAGTAATTCATGATATAAACTGGGACAAAATAAGTATTAGGAAACATCTATTTTTGTTAATTACGATATGTGAATAGGAGCATGGGGAGGGAGTAATATTTAAGGGTTGAAAACTAAAGACACGTAGTTAAATAACCTAAAATGATACAATCCCATGTTGGTTAGAATGGAAAATGGTTAAGGAGAAGGATAAATTACAAGCAGTCGCATTGTCTGAATTTAATTTCTTAAATTAATTGAATGACAAATACAAAACTAACATGGTCCCATTTCTTTCTGTAAACCGAAAAACTTAAAGGAGAAAATAATCCAAATAGAGCAAAAACGAAGATCACATTAGCAATATCATTGTCTGCAGATATCATTTTTGTTTACATAAATATGAGAGGGTACAAACGAACTGAATACCTCTAAACATTTAATTTTGACGACTAGGGCACGGAACCACCGATTGAACGAATTGGTGATTGGTGCCGTTGGCAAAAGACACAGATTCCCGCACCCGCAATGTGGGTTCGATTTTCACTCTCAATATTATATTTTGGATTCTTGTATGAACTGAAGACTTTCTAAGCTATTTTCTTTTCTTCTTTTTTTTCCTGTTTTTTCTTGTCTTTTTTTTCGATTGGTTCTTATTTATTTGCTACTATTCTTTATTACGTAATTCAAATTGACTCCTTTTTTTTGTGATTAGTTCTTAATTTTTTTTATTTTCTCTGTCACTAATTATTGATCTCTTGATATGAATATTATGTGTTTATTCTTTATTAATTAATGAGTATTGTATTATGAAAGTCACATAAATATTACTACGAATATATTTAAATTGTTTTTTTGAAAAAAAAACATAAGTTTTACAAAAAATATTATTATGTTAGAGTTCTTTTAATTTTAAGGTTGTTCCGATCTTCACATTCTTGATAAGTAAGATGGTTGGGTTGAAACCAATTTTAATTTTTTCTCTACTATATATATGCAACAACACATACCGACAATGAAATATGAATATATTAAGTTAACACTATTAGATAGTTTATACAAATTCGAATTTTTAATGTGGAAAATCTTTTTTTCCTCAAAGTTTTAGAGAATGCCTCTAAATCCAACAAAAAAAGTTGAATTGTTTAGTTATCTCTAATCTCAGAATAACTAAAAGAAAATATTACTAACATGCACGTTAAATCAATTTGTTTTATAAAAATCGAAAAAGATAAATAATCCGAATTGTAACCCAAAATTAAAGGAACTGACCCGTTTATCTTACTTGGGCAATGTGGCACCCACGACCTCTAAATCCAAGATCCGCCTCTGGTTTGCCTAGTGTAATTTTACTTTCATATGTGATATAAAGGCTATTGCACAAAAATAAAGTTTACTTAACTCTCTCCTTTTCTTGAGATATTAAAAGAACAAAAAAAATCTACATCTTACAAACTCTAACCTTCAATATAATGAAAGGGATAATATTGCCCCTTTTTTTTAGCTCTACACCTGTTCTTCCAAAGATTCCAACAAATACAAATAGGCATAGTATGAAGGATAAGCTTATGGACATCATTAGAATGTGTTTATTAGCCACCATTTCATAATTAGCATTCTAAGATAAAGGTATGGCATGGAACCTGAAAAGAAGTTCCATATATACCTTCTTGGCTAGTTGACTGTGCTAAAAATGTGGTCAATTGTTTCCTCTTCAGCGTTTATGCATCAGGAATGTGTTGCTTCAAACGACAAACACAAAACTAAGGAGAAATCAAACCAAATAGAGAAAAGTAAAGACCAAATTGGCAATCTCATTGCTCTTTTTTGTTTAACATAAATATGAGGCTACAAACAAATTGAATTTCCTTGAAATTGGAACCTAATACGAAAACCTCTAAACATTTAATTTTGACCATGAGCGAGGGTCAGGGAACGGTAACACCATTCATAATTCCCTTGCGACATGAATCATCTCCCTTCAAAGCTGTACATTTCTTAACAAGATCCAAGTAGTCTTCCAATTGTTGTTGAATCTCAATTATTCCATGTTCTTCTAATATAGTAGGATCTGCAATATCCATTAATTACTCTCTTTAATATAACGATCCACAAAGTTGGTTGGAATATACCACAAATACAATAAATGAACAAAAATGTATAAACAAATTTTTAGGCTGAGGCACGGATATCTCGCTCTCTTTAAGGAGATTCAAGCCTACTGCAACATAATCTACACCGATCCAGCAGTATCATTCTTGACTTGTCCCCTCCAGGATACAACAACCCAACAACATCGTACAACTCAAATAACTCCGAATTAGTTGAAGAGTCCAAAGCTCCACAAAAAGAACATCTTCTTCAACATATAATTACTCTCTTTTATATATAGTGAATATAGTTAAGACTTCGAATATTTTTCTTTGTCTCAACTCTCTCTTTCACTACTACACTCCTCTAACTACACACTACAATATTTTTCCACATTTCTCTTCTTTTTGGCCTTCCATCATACAGAAAGACACATCACTATTTATAGGTGATAAATTCTTCCTAATGTTGAATAGGAATAATGCGGATAACAAGTAGGTAAATGAATAGAGGAATTATGCCTTGGAGGTTACATGAGTTACAAGGCATTATGGGTGAAATAATGTGTAAGATGTTACAATGATTTTGAGAGGAATAATGACCATTTCATGCTACAAAGAAGCGTTTGGTAATGGAGCACCAAAAGTCACTCCATTATGCAGCACTTCACCATTTCAACATTAAACATTTTAATATTAAAATGCTTAATTCACCAACACTGGCAAGATTCTGTTAACAATAAAGACAGTTGCAACATAAAGATCAAATTAGCAATTTCATTTTCTGCAGATCTCATTTTTGTTCAACATAAATATGACAATTTAAACAAACTGAATTTCCTTTAAATTGGAACCTAGTATGAATACTTTAAAGAATTAAAATAAACATTTAATTTTGACCGAGAGCGAGGGCACGAAACATTTTTTGTGGAAAATAGTGACAGTTGTATTAAATTGTTTATTAGATTAGCTTAAATACTAATTAGTTACAGAGTCTGTTAGATTAAACTGATAGTCAGCTAGTTAGCTTTGTAAATAAAGTAGTCGGTTAGTGACATGTATAAATAGACACACTTGTATCAATGAAAGGCAATGCAGTTCTACAAAATTTCTCCAGTCACTTTCTTCCTTCTCTTCTAATGTCAATGTAACAGTGCCCATTGTAGCTAGGTTAATACTTTCAACATGGTATCAGAGCAAGGTTTCATTGAAACCTAGCACACCTTGTTGCATAGATGTTTACGTGAGAAGAGATCTGGAGAAGACAACTGCATATACTCGAGAAAGGGAATTTGGGGATTTCATCACCAATTGAAGAATTACGGAATTACGGAATTACGGAATTACGGACATTTTCATTTGTACGAAGTCAAATCCAGTTTGAATCCAAAGAAGGAGCTCCAAAATGGTAGATGCAGCAGATTTGTCAACTCAATCGCCATCTCCATCAAGTTCCACACAGGTTCAGACGTTTACCGATATTCACCCCAGAAATCCCTTGTATCTTCATCCTTCATATACACTAGGTAGCATTCTGATTTCGCAAAAATTAACTGGTATAGAGAATTACACAAGTTGGAGTAATTCGATGAGAGTAGCATTGTTAGCTAAGAATAAAATTGCATTTGTAGATGGATCCTGTAGAAAAGAACAATATATAGGAGATTTAGAACATGAATGGGAAAGATGCAACGCCTTCGTTCTGTCATGGATTACTAACTCTGTTTCGAAGGAATTGGCTAATGGCGTCATGTTTTCGTCTAATGCTTGCACTATATGGAGAGATTTAAAGGAGCGTTTTGATAAAAGAAATCTAACTAGGATCTATCAATTGCATCGTGAAATATGTACCATGAGTCAGGGCACTCTTACTGTTTCAGAATACTACTCTAGACTTAGAAATCTATGGGATGAACATGTTTCTTTAGTACCATTGCCTGCTTGTGAATGTGACAAATATAGGGAGTATGCTGATCATATGGAGAAACAAAAGCTTATACAATTTTTAATGGGACTAAACGAAACATTTGCTCAATCTCGAAGTCATATTCTGATGATTGTTCCTAGCCCTAACTTGAACCAAGCCTACAGCATGATAATGCAAGATGAGAGTCAGAGAGTCCAGTCAAACATGATTTCTGCTTCAGTGATACTATTGCAACAATTAGATATTAATGAGCCTACTGCACTAGCATCTGTCCAGCACAACAAATTTAAGAAGGCTAATAATCTATACTGTGAGCATTGTCATATGAGAAATCATAACACCAAGTATTGCTATAAGTTGGTAGGATATCCGGTTGATCACAAGTATGGTAAAAGGAATCCTGAGGATAGAAATGTTGATAGGAATGACAGGAAACCTCAGTTTGGGGATGAAAGACAAAGATTTCAAGGTGATAGGTGTTATGCCGAAATTTTCCTAACTTCAGAAAAATCACTCTTTTGAAATGTTCTAAGTATAAAACAATTCGAGAAAAATACTTAGAAAAGAGTCGCCACTTAATTTTTTAAAGAAATTAAGAAAACTTATAATTTTCAAAGACTTAAACAGAAAAAATCATTTGAAAATGCCAAAGAGGGTTCGGGGTTCAATTTACACTTCGAGAAGGGGTTAAGCATTCGAAGTGCCCGCTAACATGCGATTGACCTGCGACTTGACTAAAATATATTTGACTATTTTTAGGAAAATAACAATTTAATATAAAAAATAATAACTTACAATATTTGATTAATTTTGAGAAAATGATTAAATAAATGACGCATTTTATATTTTTTTTTTTTTTTTTTTTTTTTTTAGAAAAAGGGATCCAAAATGGAACATTTGACTCGAAAATCAAGTGATTAGAAAATTAATAGAATTAGAATAATTAGAAATTATTTAATTCATTTTGAAATAACAATTTAAACCAATTTAATGCATGAAAATCATTTTTTAATTAATTGACCAACCTTTTTGAGAAAAGACTAAGTAAGTGTGTGTGTGTATATATATATATATATATATATATATATATATATTCAATTAATTGAAAAGGTTTTGATTAACATTTTTAAAAGTTTATTTGAGAAAGATACTTTAACTTACAACAATTTTAAAATGAATAAAAATGTGATTAAATGAAAAGCATTAAAGAACATCTCTTTTTAAGAACCAAGGTTTTAACTTGATTGAAAATATAAAATTTTGACCAATATATTTGATTAATAAAATAAATGAACACAAAACCGTGAAATGTATTTAGAATTAAACTGACACAAAGAAAGTAACTCATCGTTTGGGGAATCTAATTAAGCTAATTAACAATTCTAAAGTTAGAGTTAATGATAAGAAAACAAACAATAAATAAATAAATAAAAAATTAAATAATTTAAAGGACAAAGGGGAAATGAATTTGGGCCGCTTTTTTTGGGCCAATTTCGCTGAAATTTTAGCCTTTAAACCAATCCCGTTTTTGTATATACTGACTGTATATCAGTGTATATGAGCGCATATATCAGCTCTTTTCATGTATCTCCTGCTTCCGAACACCTGTATCTTGCCTCAGACCTACATTTTCACACTTTTCGACCTGTATACGAGTGTATACCGATGTATATCAATGTATACAAGTTGTATCTCAGCCTGTTTTCAGCTTTTTGAGACTTGTTTTCAATTTCCAGCCCTTGTATTTACCACCTTCCACCTGTTCGTCAACTTCTCTATTCCCAGGGGGGCTGACTCGGAGAACAAATGGATTTGGGCCTTTGTGGCTCATTTCGAAATGCAAGGAGGAGAAGAATCCATCATGGACTCAAAGCATATTCATATGCAACAGAAAGAAAGGCACAAAAGTAAGGATCATAAGAATTCGATCGAAAAATACAAGGAGAGTGGCAACAGACCACTGTTGACATCAACTTCATTACCACATAACTCAATTATTTCAAACAATATCGAGTGAAGTATCTCAATCTTAACATAATAAATAAACTTGAAGCTAGACCAATGCAATCACTCTAACAAAATGTAAATTCGTATCAATGAACCAATATTGTTACAATGCATTGGAGAAAAATCACAAACTAGGCCAAAGAAATAAAATAAACAATCCTCCTAGACATGGTAACCAACGACATTAGGTGACCAGTGTGTTTTCTACAATGAAATAAAGGATGAGGGTCCATTCTTTCCTAATAACTAAAGAAACATAAGCAGCCCCCACTTGGCAGAAGAAACAAGCATATATTAATTGATTATTTGAACAATAACAAATACACTAGAGAGAATTACATTTAAGCTTATCACCAGGGGAGCTTTTTCTAAGGATAAAGGCAGAGTACAACACGTCAAACTAATTTAAGGATACATGTATACCCAAGGAACTTGGAAAGAAACTTCAAAGAAATAAAATCTGGCCACATGAACCCACTAAATGATGCTACTGATTTTAAATATTAAGACTCACCACGGCCAACCTTCAATCTAACCGAGAACTAAACAAGCTATCTTTTGACCAAAACTAAACATTTAAAACTTGAAAACTCAAAGGATCAGATCGCAATCAGAAACAATAAACATAAATACATAATGACTAAGTTAGGAGATGCAACTACCAATAGATGAGTCACAACACTTAGTTTGCAAGTAACAAGGGTAAAAACAATCTATTTATCAGATTATGGAAATCAAAATCATCTATAGAAGATGATTTTGAATTTCACGATTGAACCGCAACACTCACAGTTTACCAGACGAGATCAACAATGAAACGAAAAGAAAATAAGAAGAAACCGACTCAACACCAAACAAAATCATTACGATTTTGAGCAAAAACGGAACCACACAACAACATGAATAGCGAACAAATTGACCCACCGATTATTATATCATTCTTACATCAGTCTAGCAACAAGATCAAACCATAAAACTAAACGACTATTATCTCACAATAAAGAAACCAAATCATAAAAGAAGTGCTACCTTTTCGGGGGCAGCGAACTAGGACGACGAGAAGAGCGATTCCACCACTCTCTTTGGATACTAAAGGCGAGCTAAGAAAATCCGAGCGACAATCTTCTCGGAACTTGGAATCAAAAGACTAGATATATAAATTTTAAGTGTAGAAGTGACTATTGCTTCAAAATCAACCTCAAAACCGTCTATGGTCCCCCTCCTCAAGAGTGAACATGGGTATTTATAGGCGGAATTTGGGATTGAAAAAAGGGGGGAAACGGGTTGAAAAGATGGGATGATTTCCAAATTCGAAATTCAAAAATCTCTTCCAAGAGATAAGGTTGCCAAATTTCCACGATTTGGTGGGATTTTCGCGTGAAGAAGACGATATAGGGGTCGTAGGGTATGGCTGCTGTCCGCGATTTTTGGGTTTGCAGCGTCTTGAATCTTGGTTCTCGCGTTGAGGAAGAAGGAGAAAAGGGTCGGGTCAGATGTGGTATTGCTGTATGTATGTTTGGATCGCTGGTTGTATTGTTGAAATGGGTTTCTTTTGAATTGGTTGTATTGAGGAATTGTTGCTGAAATGGGCTGGGTCATTGGTGGAAAAGAAAATGGGCCAAAAATAGGGAGTGTTGGGCCGGCTGATGCTGGAAAAAAGGCCCAAAGTTGGCCTGAAATAATTAAAGTAAATGGTAAGGAAATTAATAAAAAGGCCAAAGGATTGCAAACTTAGCCTACTTAAATTAAGAGTTAGTCAAATCGAATTTAATTAGCAAATTCGACATAAAACTTAAATAAGATGAATTAATTAATTAATTAACGAGCTTCTTAATCTTAACAAAATAAAATAATCAACTTAATTAAAAAAATTAATTATTTCATATATATATATATATATAAAACAATATGAACTATTATATAACTAAATAATTAACCAAATATTTAAAATATAAAATCTTTTTGAGACGATTTTCAAATATTCATAAAATATACTAATTATATACATAATTATGTGAAAGATATATATTATCTAAAATTATAAAAAGCGACAAGACTATTTAAAATAACTTGCAAACTTTATTATTATTATTATCATTATTATTTATTTATTTATTTTTAAATTTTTTTTATAAGATTGACAAAACTTACATACAAATAACTCGAAAAAATATTTCGGATTTCATAAAAGATAATTAATTCGAAATTATAGCCATCAATATAAAATCTTTTGAGATGATTTCAAATATTTATAGGATATACTTATTTCATACATAATTATATAAAACATATATATTATTAAAAAAATACAAAAAGTGATAGACTATTTAAAAACTTGCAAAATAATAATAATAATAATAATAATAATATTTTTATTTTATTTTTTTGAAAATTTATGAAACTAATTATTTTAACTTGTTTGAAATTGAAGAAGCTCGATAATTAATCTATAATCTGGAGGTCCAAAATTGGGTGTCAACAATAGGCAACAAAGGTTTGGTGGAAATAGAAGGCAGCAGGCACACAATGCACAATGTGCTGATAATTCTGAGTATGGAAACAGACAACGGCAGAATCAAAACACAGGACAGCTAGCTGGATTGGAGCATGGCAATGATTCATCATCATCTATGTTAGTGACATCATTTACTCATGATCAGTATAATCATCTCATGAGGATGCTGGAAAATTACTCTTCACCACAAGGAAGTATAGCTAATATGGCAGGTATATCCCAGAACACTACTTCATGTTTTACATCAAGGTGTTTTTCTGCAGGTTTAGACACAGCTCCTTGGGTGGTTGATACTGGTGCTACCAATCACATGGTCTATAATATAAAATCCTTGCTAAATTCTTCATCTGCACCACCTTCTAACAACCAAGTACACCTTCTAAATGGCCAAACAACATATGTTAAACACATTGGAACAATAACACTTTTTGATAATTGTGTATTGAACAATATGTTACATGTCCTTAAGTTTGAATATAACCTCTTGTCCATCTCCAAGCTTACCAAGGAACTTCATTGTTGTGTTTCTTTTTATCCCTCTTTTTGTACCTTTCAGGACCTGTCAACTGGCAAGGTGATGGGGATTGGTAGGGAAAAAGAGGGCTTATACCTGCTTCCCTCTGCTCAACAACATCCACCTGCTAGTGCTCTAGTTGAACACCACTCTTGTTCATAATCTATTCATGTTGATACATCCATCTGTCATCTCAAATTCGGGCATGCACCAATAGCTGTTCTTCAGAAGATTCCCCTACTCAACTCCATCAATTTGCCTGCAACATCTATTTTTTGTCCTATTTATCCTCTTTCTAGACAAACTAGATTTCCATTTCCCACTAGTACTAAGAAGTCTGTTCATCTTTTTTATCTCATTCACATGGATGTTTAGGGTCCCTATAAACAATGTACTTACAATGGTTACAAATATTTCCTTACTATTGTAGATGATCATTCCAGAATGACTTGGATTTACTTGTTAAGATTGAAAAGTGATGTAATAATACACATTACTTCATTTCTTAATCTCATTAAGAATTAGTTTTCAGCATCTGTTAAAATTGTCATGACTGATAATGGGTTGGAATTCTTTAATTCTCAATGTCATACTCTTTTTACTTCCCTTGGTATTATACATCAAAGTACTTGTGTGCATACACCTCAGCAAAATGGCATTGTTGAGAGAAAACACAGGCACCTTCTTGAAATGGCAAGAGCCCTTAGATTTCAGGCTCATGTACCCCTCAAATTTTGGGGAGAATGTGTCACTGCTGCAGCTTTTCTCATAAACAGACTGCCCTCCACAGTTCTATCTAACAAATCACCTTTTGAGGTGTTTCATGGACACCCTCCTAAGCTGGACCATATCAAAGTGTTTGGATGTTTATGTTATGCAACTAAACCTATGTTCACAGATAAGCTGTCTTCCAAAGTCATACCCTCTGTGTTCATGGGCTATTCACCCACCCAGAAAGGGTACAAACTTTACAATATCTTTTCAGACACCTTCTTCACCAGCAAAGATGTTTCCTTCAGAGAACATTTTTTCCCTTTTCAGCATCCCAAGTCCACTTTTTTGGCTCCAGACTCCATGTGCACCTCACATACTTTTCCTCCTACCTCAGCATTCCCCCATCCTATGGATGTGCCCTTGTCATCCCCCTGATCACACCTTGAACATACCTTCTTTTTCTTCACTTACATCTGTTCCTTCAGTGTCATCTTCTCCTATCACTACTACTGATCATGTCCTTGTTTCATCACCACATCCTGCCGGGAAATCCACCAGAGTTACTAAGCCTCCCATTTGGCAAACTGATTACATTACCAAATCATCTACCTCTCATCCAATTACCAACTATCTTTCTTATTTTGTAGTTTCACCATCCTACAAAGCCTACCTCATGCCTTTTCTGCTTCTATTACTGAGCCATCTTCTTATAATCAAGCTGCTCAAGATAAGCATTGGGTTTATGCTATGGACCAAGAGATTGTTGCACTCACTGATAATCACACTTGGGTAGTTGTAGACCTACCTGCAGGTAAAACTCTTATTGGATGTAAATGGGTGTACAAGATAAAATACAAGGCTGATGGATCTATAGAGAGGTATAAAGCTAGATTGGTTAACAAGGGATTTACTCAGCAAGAAGGGATTGATTACCATGACACATTTTCTCCAGTGGTTAAAATGGCCACTGTAAGGACTGTTGTTTCTATTGCTGCTCAGTCCAACTGGCCTTTATTCCAGATGGATGTTTATAATGCTTTCTTACAGGGTGATCTTATAGAGGAGGTTTATATGACTTTGCCACCAGGTTTTGGCAGCCAGGAGGAGCACAGGGTATGTAGGCTACTCAAATCCCTGTATGGCTTAAAACAAGCCAGCAGACAGTGGAATTTGAAGCTTACAACAGCTCTGGTTCAGTCTGGTTTTACACAAAGCATGTTGGATTATTCTTTGTTTACAAAAGAGAATGAATGAGGAATTGTTATCATACTTGTTTATGTTGAAGACCTGTTAATTACTGGTAGTGACAAGAAGTTAATTCAGGATGCAAAACAAATTCTGAACCACAATTTCAAAATGAAAGACCTGGGGGAGTTAAGGTACTTCCTTGGTATAGAATTTGCCAGATCAAATAGAGGGATCTTGATGAATCAAAGAAGATATGCACTGGAGCTAATCTCAGAATGTGGTTTAGGGGGAGGAAAGCCTAATGCAACACCACTAGAACATAATTAAAAGTTGACAAGCTTGGAGTATGATAAAGTTTTTGAGTCTACAGATGATGATGTAGAATTGGAGGACATAAGAGTATATCAAAGACTCATAGAAAGGTTATTGTATTTGGCAATGACAAGGTCAGATATTTCCTATGCAGTACAACATCTGAGCCAGTTCATGCATGCACCTAAGAAATCACACTATGAAGCAGCCCTACATGTGGTGAGATATGTAAAGCAACAACCTGCATTGGGACTACTTATGAGTAGTAAGAAATCAGGAAAGGTGAAGGCCTATTGTGATGCAGATTGGGCATCATGTTTGATATAAAGAAAATCTGTGACAGGTTTTGGAATTAAGTATGGAGACTCACTGATTTCATGGAAATCCAAGAAACAAAGCACAGTGTCAAGAAGCTCAGCGAAAGCTGAGTATAGAAGTATGGCAACAACAGTAGCAGAGTTAGTGTGGTTGTAGAGTTTGCTGAAGGAACTAGGTGCTCAACTGATTACAACTTCCTACATTGCTAGCAAAGAGCAATTGGCAGACATATTCACAAAAGCTTTGGGAAAACAACTGCACACTGAGATGTTATTCAAGTTAGGATTGCTCAACATTTTTCACCATCCAACTTGAGGGGGAATGTGGAAAATAGTGACAGTTGTATTAAGTTGTTTATTAGATTAGCTTAAATACTAATTAGTTGCAGAGTCTGTTAGATTAAACTAATAGTCAGTTAGTTAGCTTCGTAAATAAAGTAGTCGGTTAGTGACATGTATAAATAGACACACTTGTATCAATGAAAGGCAATGCAGTTCTACAAAATTTCTCCAGTCACTTTCTTCCTTCTCTTCTAATGTCAATGTAACAGTGCCCATTGTAGCTAGGTTAATACTTTAAACATTTTTCAATTCGACATAATTCCCTTGCGACATGAATCATGTATGGTCTATCATCTCCGTTGCCAGCTGTGCATTTTTTAGCAAGATCGGAGAAGTCTTTCAATTGTTGTTGAATCTCAATTCCATGCTCTTCTAAAATGATAGGATCCGCTAAATCCATTATATTTATACCCTCTTTAATATAACCATCGATAAATTTAAAATTTACTATCGCGTTAGAATCCACTCTATACAAAGTATTTCCCTCTTCAGTAATGTCTTCTTCAAAATCCATTGTGTCTTCTGAAGTTGTAGAATCCACTCTATCCATATAAATATCTGGCACTCTCTTTCCGGTTAACAGCTGAAAGAGAAGAACCCGAAAGCTGTAGACATCAACTTTTTGAGTAATAATACCCATTATGACATGTTCTGGAGCCATAGACCCATGTGTTCCATAAATCTTATCCTCTTGTACCTCCAATTCTCCCGGAGGCAGTGATATGGACAACGAGAAGTCTACTATTTTGGCAACACCACTCTTCTGATCTATTATCACATTCTGAGCCTTCAAATCTCTGTGGATAATGGGTGTAGTAAATTCGGTATGCAGAAAAACGATTGCAGAAGCAACCTCATTGGCAATCCATAAACGATTTCCCCAAGATAATAACGATTTTCTAATAAGATTATCCTTTCTGAAAAGTAGATCGCTAAGAGATATACCTTCAACATATTGATACACCATAACTGGTTGTTCAAATTCTAGACAGCAACCAACAAGTCTCAACACATTCTTCAGATGACTCATTTGAGCAGTAATCGCTATATCTCGGTGCATATTTTTGACTTTCCATGTATTGAATCTAACTAAAACAGGGCGGTTGTCCAGCGAGCCCATAACCATATCCATTTCGTCAAGCTCCATTATTGTGGTTTTAGAGTGTTTTATTGCATTGTTGATCTCTATGGCAGAGAAGTAACGGATGGGAATTCTGCAATTTCCGTCGCATAAAGCAAGAAGCTCCTCAAGCACGCATCTTCCATTCTGTAAATAACAATCATTCTCTTTCTTCCGCCTTTCAGAATCGGCAGAGGAAAAACGTTTTTTCATTGAGAATAGTCCCCTGAAGAAAGGCATGCTCTAATTTTGAAGTGATGAATGGTCTCCATGAATTAGGATTAAATACAGTAAATCATTCATCAATAATGATTAAGGAAGTAACTGTGAGGTTCCTTCCTCCTGCTGCTCTTTCTTACTTTGAGGCGTGCATTAGATTCCATACAAAATGGAGTTTCCAAGCACTTTCATTTCATTTTATATTAAGAGTAATATTTTCAACATATTAGAAAATTTGGCATCGTCACATGTCTCAAGAAGCTCTAATAAATAATTGCACAAGTTGATCAATTTAATTTTCTACCCTATATCTTCTGATTGTAACATTTGTTCCTTATAATTGGCCTTTCAAGATTGAATGATCTGTAGTGAAATAATCATGCACCACTTTCTCTATTTTGTGATACACAAAAAGTATTGAATATTTAATTTCATCGTACACTGTATTCAAAGACAAATGTTACAGATTTGTGTAGATCAAAGATTTTTCGAACCACCCATCAGAGTGAGTACTCGGATGGTTTGGTTTGACAATTCTATAATGGAGGTCTCAAGTTCGAAATATTTTGCCTGTGACAATGTACACAGATAAAATTGTAATGTATCTAATAAAGGTGAAGTGATGTATTCGAATATTAAGAGAGAGAAAGGAAAAAATAGATTTTTATAATTAATTCAAATGGTAAAAGTTTTTAAAAATTATGTTATCTTAAAAATCATGTAATTACATAATTTTCCCGAAATAGTTCGTAGAAACCACATATTTATTGGATCAATGTATCTGACCCATAGGAAACAACTCGAGCAGCCCAATGTAGTGGCGGAGGAATTAAAGATGGAGAATCCAACCCAACGAGGAAATAAGCGCCCCGTAGTTATTTATTTATTTATTATTTATTTTATTTTTTTAAAACGGTTTTAAAGTTTTACTCCTATTTCTCATTTAATAAAAATATTATTATCCAAAATACTTTAATTTATGACTTAATTTCTCTAGGCAACTTTTTTAGAAAACGGTTGACCTAAGACATAACTTCAGTGCTATATCTAAGGTACAAGTTCATACTACTAAACTTAAGCTCCAAAGCACAAGTTATGCCTACAACATAAGTTTAATGTATGAAATTCTTAAGGCATATTGTTCTAAAATTGAATTTATATCTCAAGATAAAAGTTATGTCTTACAAGGCATAAGTGTTGTTTTAGAACTTTATACATTAAGAAGTTCATACTACTAAATTTATGCATCAAGGCACAAGTTATGCCTAAAACAAAAAAAAAATATGCAAAGCATAAATTATGCCCTATATGACATAAGTTTAACATATGAACTTTTTATGTTATAATATTTTACCACTGAACTTATATCTATATATATAGAGGATAAATAACATGTACCTAGCAAAAAAAAAATTGTCTTGCGCATTTTGTTTTCCTTAGATTTTTTTTTAAATAATAGGGTTATTTTTGTCTTATTACTGAAGTGTAGAAGAATAATATTAAAAATCACAAATTTAAATGGCAAAAATTAAAGATCACTCCAAGATAGGAGCATTCAGTGAATGACCCCTAGTCAATTGCTTCACCCCTCTGCTATTTATTTTTTGCTCCTCATATTTTAGGTGATTAATTTTTACTTGTTATTCATTTAAGAAAATAATTGTGGATTAAAGTATCTCTATCTATTCACATATAATTCATTCGACATTGTAACTTTAGAATTTTTATCTTTTTGAAATTATGTTTTTATCTCGTTCAACATAAGTTTTATAGCAATTAAGTTATGCAGCATAAATTGCATAGTATTTTTAAAATTTTGATTTAGTTTTCAGAAATTAGAATTGTGCTTTTTTTGCACATATGTTCTCTATCTGTTTTAGATAGAAAAAATCAATATATATATATATATATATAAAGGAGAAACATAGAGAAGATGATGTGGCACCTCTCTATAATCTCCATTCCCATTTTTCTTTTTTCTCTTTTTTTTGGCCCTTTTTCATATTTAAAATATTTAATTTATTGTGAAAGTATTATTTAATTTATTATAAATAAATATTATATTAATGAAGAAACATTTATCTATATCAAAGACTCTTCACATGCCAAATATATATATATATATATATATATTATATTATATACAAAAGAAAAATGAAAATTACTACTCCTCCATTTATTTTATTCTTTAATGTACAAAATTGAATGTCTAAAAATTTACTACTCCACTCAATTCTCATAATTTGAAAAACTAAAAGTATCATCAGTTTTTTTTTTCCCTTTTGGGTATTTTCTTATTATATAAAAAATAAAATGACAATTATTATTACTATCTATAGCCTTCATTCCTATTTATCTTTTTTTTTTTGGCATTTGTTAGCTTTTTCTCCTCATTTTTAATGTAGTTAATATTAATATAATTGTTGAATAATTAATCTTTTATTGTAAATATGTTATATTAATGCTGATATCCATAATTTCAAGATGTAATTCCATCATTATGTGTAATAAACTCACACCTCCACCACCTCCTCTTTTATCTTCCACGCCCCTTAATCTTCCCCACATTCTCAAGAATCAATGCCATGTTTATTGTTATCTCTTTATATGTCTTTATGTAACAATATAAATAGAGGTCTTCAGGATTATATTTTGCACTTGAAGATTTGAGAAACACTTGAATATACTTGGAAGAATAGCAAAACTCTTCTATCTTATCTCTCTACATTTTTTGTCTACTTTCTTACTTATATTATTACTTCTTTAGCTTAATTTGAAATATGTTTTGATTCTTGGATAGTCACATCTAATTGCATTTACCTTCTAGACTAGAAAAGATGTATTAATACCTTGTAATTGTTCAATGTAATTATATACGATGAAAATTCATTGTCTCCCAATAAGTATGAGATTTGTTACAAACAAATTCAAAGAGACAAAAATCTACGTGAAGACTTCTACTATTAAATATTATTTTGGTTATGAAGCTGCATTTTCAAGGTAATAATTTGCCCACTTCTTTCTTTTTTGGTTGTTTTTGAAGTAGTATAAATATGCAATAGTGTGAAAAATGTTTCGGAGTTTTAAAAATATAATACTTTCAAGTACTTTATTTTTATTTTCTTTTCAGTTTGTCTTTGATTCAATTAGTTGAAGAAAAAAATGACAATGGTTTAAATTATCTTTATGTCCAACGCGATGGACAGAAAAAGTAAACCTACACTAAGGTATTAAAAACATTTTATTCTTTGCCTTTTTTTCCTTCTTTTATTCAATATAAATGCATAATTATTTTATACCTTTCTTTTTATTTATATGTAGTTTGTTGATGATTTTTAAGAATTTTTTTTTCTTTTGTTAATCTCATTAGAACCTTTGTTATATATGTTGTATGTTGTTTAATTTATTGATGGACTTTTAGGATTTTTTTATTTTTCCTTTTGTTAATCTTATTTTAACTTTTGTTGTAGATGATGATGAAGGCATCACAGTAGTATATTCAGAGAATATTTTATCATGATCTATAATTATTTTCCATCAATTCTTTTTACTTTATAAATTTTCATCAAATGATATGAGTGATATAAATTTATATTATATTAATCTCATAACATCTTTTTCTAAAAAAAATTGATTTCTTTCCATGTGTTCATTCATAATACTTAAAAACATTTTTTTTTCAATAGAAAACTTAATTTTTTTCATTTGATTTTCAAAAAAAGGAAAAAACCTAACAATACAAAAAAGATAAAAAAAAAAAAAAACGAATGATTTCAAGAAGAAAAAATAATTGTCAAGACAAAAATAATGACAACTCTACCACCATCCACACCATCATCGTCTTAAAGCTTGACTTGTATTAGAAAGGTTATGCCAACACATTCCTAATTAATTAATAAGGCCAATTATGTGCATTGACAATTTTTAGATATTTTTAAGTTACACATAAATAGATAAGATGACATGATATCGCTTTATGGAATAAAATATTATTTACACCCTTCTTTCATTTAACACTTTAATTGTGAAATAAATTAGACACGTAATAAAAAAATTGAAGATTGAAAACATGATTTAGTATTCATTCAAAAATATTGGTACTTAATATTTATAATAGAATGTTCAATGTAAATTTACGAGGAATACGAGAAAATGGGTGAGATGAAAATATTGTAACTCATATGAACTTGTAATGTTAATTGAAATTCAATAAATATGTTAACATAAATTTATGTTTAAGAAAGTATAATAAATGGTCTTATGAAGTGGCTTTTGAATTTTTATAGCATCTCTTTTTTTCATGTTTGTTTTGACTTTTTTCAATATGATAATTCGTATTTATTAATACGCCATACAATTCTTCTACTGATTTGGATTAATAGCCTATATACCAAGTTAATGAAGCATGTATATTTTTTTGGTTGTCTTTTCTAAAAATTCTCAAATAGATTGAACATATTATTTCCGTTATAGTATTACTTTGTGTATTATGACTTTTGAAAATTAAAAAAACTTCATAACTTAATTAAGGAATTTGAACATCGCTATATGTACACCTACACTCAAAATGAAATGCAACATTTCAAGAAACATCTTCAATTCATGAATCCAAAATATTAGAGTGGTGAGTATGAGTAGAAAACTGATGAAAGTTTGTTTAGTTTATATTCATTTTTGAGTGATATAATAAAGTGTGTTTTTTGAGAAATTTTTGATATCATGTTTTCATTTAATTATTTCTTGAGTAGCAAAGACTAAATATATAAATAACCTGGGTGCACAAATATATAGTGAAAGGTCTGTCAAAAAGCTATTTTTATACATAATTTTTTTATATATTTGCTTTAAAACAAAATATAAATAAAGTTCAATTCGAATTTTCATGGTCAAATTGATATTCAATAAAGTAAAAAATTTCAGAAAGAAGTTTAATTTATAATTTCTTATGACCAAAC